TCTGTGCTTGTGGGATAGTAGGGACATTACTCAGCATTACACGAAAAAGAACTGGCCTGTTCAGAAGGGATTGATACCTTGCAGAGCAATGAACGTCATCAATAATCTTCTATTGGAGAAAGACAGGATACTTTTCCCCACCGCTGCATGTCAAGCTTGGCTTGATCAAGCAGTTCACTAAAGCTCTGAACATGGATGGTGCTTGTGTCAAGCTTTTCCAGGACTGACGAGGGAGAAGTTGAAAACTGGCATCTTTGATGGTCGTCAAATCCATCAGTTCATTAGAGATCCAGAGTTTGAAAACTCAGTGTACGAATTGGAACTGGAAGCATGGAAGGCATTTTTTTAGTCGTGAAAAACTTTCTTGGCAACAACAATGACAGGAACTACGCAGAACTTGTCATGAATATGCTGACTGCTTTCAGAAACCTCAGATGCAAGATAAACATCAAAATGCATTATTTATTCTCATATATGGATTGATTTCCTGAGGATTTGAGATCAATGAGCGACGAACAGGGCGAGAGATTCCATCAGGACATGAAAGAGATGGAGACCAGGTATCAGGGACGCTGGGATGCAGTCATGATGGCTGATTACTGCTGGACTTTGAAGAGAAACAACTCTACCGCTGATCATTCTAAGGGTTTGAATAAACAGAATTTCAATTTGAACAATGATGACGTAACATGTAATTTACATGTACTTATATTTATCAATGTATACTATTCAATTTATTGTAATCGATGCTTGCAATATTTAATTTCTTAAAAACTTATTTCATATGAGAAATATTAACAAAATTCAATCGATAATGTCACAAAAATGTAATCGATTTAGTCAGAAGATCGGATTGTAATGTAATGAATATGCATACACCTGAGTTCCCCCTCACAGTAATATGATTGGCTGGTGTCAGCCATAAATACAGACTGATGTGGGCGTACAGGACGACGCCTATTGTCTTCGCCTATTGCCTATGCCTATTGCCTACCACTACGACGAGGACCAGTCCATTCTGGTTACCTGCTAGATTGTCCTACCCGGTTACAGTAGTCAACAACCACTTTGCTACTTCGAACAAATATATTCCTTTCCAGGATTGTTAAAAACTTAGCACAAAAACATGACCTGATTTTGTTGCTCAGTGAATGTTTCTGTTCCTAATTCTTCTACACCCTGTGACCCTTTGTATCTTAGTGGTCTTACTGCCTTGCATGCCTTGATTAGAATTAAATATATATATATATATATATATATAAATGAAATTAAAAATACATTCATCCTGTACCTTTTCTGAGTTTTGCGGAAATTACACCCACTTATCAATAGGCTTGCTTTTAAAATAAAAAGAATAATTACAGGGTGACCCCCAAAAAACGGGAATGTTTGAAGTGCTTATTGCCAGACATGAGCAAGTGGCAACACTGCGAGACAGTGACCTTGAACAAGTAAACATTTCGCCATTTAGAATTCAAGATGAAATTCACAGTATCTCAGCTGAGTCAATGAGGAATCTCAACAGCAGATTTCAAGAATGCATTCGTACAGGAGGACGCCATCTACAGGACGTAATTTTTTAAAAATGAAAATTCCATCATTGTTTCTTAAATGGCATGTTTTAAGGTTTCAATTACTATGAATAAAATATTTTTCTTCCATCACTCTTGGTTTTATTGGATTGTTAAAAGTTCCCGTTTTTTTTTGTGTCACCCTGTATATTTTTGTGGCGACAGATAATCTTTGTTTTAGTATTATATACACAAATAATAATACTAGAACAATTTCAGATTAGAAATATTCTGGTATTATATTTGTTTCGGCAAATTTCGTGTTAGGTTGCAAGATATTTTTATCTGCCATTTGTCAATTGGTTTGCCCGTGTTTTATCAGTTAACGACTTACGTTTTGTTACGATTTTCTAATAAAAGCAAATCTGTAACTTCGTTTCAGCAGATCCGGCTTTGCGTTTTGTTGTCTGCCATTTATTATGCAGTTAATTATAGTCACATGTCAAGCCACTATATAAAAGAAAACAACTCATATACGCCGTGTTAATAAAAAAAAAATTAAATATATTTGTAATCTATTTCGTGGCCGAAATAAATATTTCCTATCCGGATTGCCAAATTAAGCTTTGCTCACTTATGGAAAACATTACAGCAATATTTGCCACTTACTAAAAATGAAACCGAATCAATTTTTTCCCATTCAACTTTCGAGCAAAATATGTTTGTATAAGTCCTTTGTAGCGAGATCACCATTTCATTTTGTGATTATTAACAATTGTTGAAAGGATGTACAGTAGAACCACGGGTCACGAACGCCTTTCATCTCGAACAAATCGGTTTACGAACAAACTCTCCGAACGGTGTCTCGAGCGACATACACGCAAATTAGCGACAAGGTGGAGCAAGAAGACGGACGTATCGACAGGAGAGCGTCAGTTGTAGTGTAGCTTTTGCTCCATACACACACCTGATTGAATTTGCCGTGACTTCACTTGAATTTCATTGTGTTTTTTTTTGTTTTTTTTAAAATAAATTATTTAAAACCTAGACAAAATAAATGTCGTTGGACAAGTTTTTATTGAGATAGCGGCTCTGTGAGTCTCAAGCAGAGTCGAGTGACGCTAAGAGACATGAAAAATAATTTTTAAATAATTTAAGTAATTTTATTACATTTACTTGATTTAAAAAGAAATATAGTCTATTAGTAATTAAGAGTAAAAATATTTTAAAATTGTAGTTAAATATAACGTATTCTAACCCAAACACCTCTTTTAGAAATAATCTTTAAGTATACAAGTACGAAAAAAACGCCGAAAAACGTTTTTGTCGTTAATATTAAAAAAAAAAAAAAACCCAGACGACATGCGTTTGACGGATGTCAGAATTCGTTGAAAAATACAATCTTACCCTCCCTAAACTTAACCTCTTTTTCGAACGTAACTCATATACTGATACAACAATAGTTAATAAAAATGAACACGGTATCGCCGCTGTCTAAATGATTGGATTTCTCTGTATCCTTGGAAACAGGAAATTATGAATTTATATGTGCGTTTAAAACTAAGAAATAAGTTATTCCAAAATTCGCTTGAAGATTAAACAGAACTAATGCTTTTAATTTAATTATATAATTAAATTTGAAGTTTTTAGCTTTAGTTTTTGAAACATGGTTATTACTGTGTAGCGAAGAAACCATATTTTAAATCAGTTAATTTATAATATTTATGCTCTTTAAATTTACATTGAGCACTCTTTTGTAAAAATAAAAAAAATATATCAATAAGAACACCGGATTATATATCTTACTGTTCTTTCTTTATATATATATATATATATATATATATATATATATATATATATATATATATATATATATATATATATATAGGTAAGACAAAATATAACCGCTTGCAAAAATAGCATTTTTTCCAATTCCTACATTTCCGGGTATTTGTAAACATCAAACCGGCATAAAAGGTCAGTACTTTAATCCTTTGCCTTGCTTTTCCACTTAATTAATTCATTATTTATCTTCAGGTAAAACAGTTACATACTAAAATGCGCGACCCGTCGGATTTTCAAAGCGGAAAAATAGTTGGTGCTCGATTAGCAGAAGCATCTGTGACCAAAATGTATGAATTATTGAATGTGTCACGAGCTTTAGTGTCCATGGTTATGACACTTTGCACAAAACAAGGCAAAATATCATCAGCAAAGAGTAATAGTGGACGGAAACCAAAGTTGACCGGAAGAGACCGACTTTAGAACGAATTGCGGCAAAAAATCATAATACTATTGCAATAAAAGTGACAGAAGAACTCATTACTCACCTAATCAATACAGTTTCTACACGCACAGTTTATCGGGAGCTCCACAAAGTTGGTATCCACAGAAGGGCTACGATTCCTTAAACTGTAATCACAACGTCGAACACCAAGTTGCGAAAAAAAAATGGTGTGATGATCCCAAAAATTGGACACTCGGGGAATGGGAAAATGTTATTTTGTCTGATTAGTCTTCTTTCACGTTATTTCCTACAAACGGCCGTGTTTATGTCTGGAGAAAACCACAGCTTGAAACCTATAAGCTGGAATGCATTATCCTGAAACTCAAACATGGAGGTGGCTCATTAATGATTTGGGTGGCAATTTCCTGATATTCTTTTCATGTTTTGACTGTTTGAGATGTATTTTTCTGTTGTTTTAAATGCTAGTAGGAGCATTTATTCCGAGCCTTCGCGTGTTGAGCACGGCTAAAATTCGAGTGAGCGTCTTTCTATTTTTAAAATAAATCCAGCACGCCATTCCCATTGTTAAACAAAGTGAGGTTGATAATGGGAGATATGTTTGACATACAGTACCGAAAACATCTCGCTATAAGAGTTATAGCGAGATGTTTTCGGTAATTTGATTTACATAGAGTTTTAGTGTTTTCGGCGAGAAATTGTCATTGGTTGATATTTTTTTTACGCTTTGCGTTGATATGTGACACGTGAGGCGTCTACTCAGGGCGTTTTCTTTATTATTGGATCAATGGAATATTTTGGTATTCTTAGTGAAGAGTTGTTTAATATTATTTATTGTAGTAATTCAGATAAATTGTATGTAAACCTGTGGGAAAGAGTGTAACATAGACAAGGAATATTTTGTTTATTATTTCCAGAGATGATGTCTTTAATTGGACAAATGATTTTCTAAACAACATTTGTCTCATGTCAAGTGTTGGTGGGTTAAGAAAAAAATTTTATTATTAGATTACGGTTTCATTTTTTTTTATAATAAATGATAAATCTTATAATGTATTTGCATCAACAAGTTGAGACTATGTATTATCTTTATTTTCATTTACTGTTTCATCACTTTTGTAATTGTGGTGCATTTGATTTCTGTATGTTTATAACATTGTTACTAAAGTTCTATTGAACAACCCATTAATAAGCACCCCAAAATATAATAACATCAGACAGCTCCCCACAGACATTACTGGGCTTACGGCCGCATCACGTTGAAACATCGGTTCCCCTAAGCTCACCGAGGTTAAGCAATGTTGTGCCTGGTCAGTACCTAGGTGGGTAATAGCTTGAGAATACCAGGTGTTGTAAGGTTGGATGTGCAGGTGGTGTAATGGAGAATGGCTCTGAATTGTTCATCGTAGAGCCGAGTTCAAATTCGTTGGGTTTGTTATATTCACTTACGCGTAAATATCCTTGGGAAAGGTATAAATCCACTTCTTCTCCTCCAGCTATGGGTTAATTAGTAAGACTTGTATCACTAAAACCATTATTATCTTTATGAAAATGAATAAATAAATGAAATTGCGTACAAAATATTTAGATTTCGGCATTAAGTAACTCATAGAGGTGTTAATATGACTCTAAAGAAAAACGACCAACCAACCAACAGACAATACTAAAGTAGTCCATAAATCTAATATAAAAAAGACTAAATATTACTGAAGCTATTTATATTCAACAAAAGCAAGGATACATTAATAAAAAATACTATAGTCTCCAAATCCGCATTCTTCAATGAGATATAGACCTATATACAAAACACTTTCAAAAACTTCGAATATCCTCATTATTTCATTCACAATGTTAATGTAGAATATTTGTTAGCTTGCCAGTGGTCTGACACACAAGTAGGAAAGTGTAGCCAAAGCTAAAACTGACTTGAGTCATTTCATGGAGAAATATATGGGTAAATAAAGACGACTCATGCAAATGTATTGGGCAGGTCTATTCTAGCAAAATGGACCAACCTAACTGGTGTATTAGGCACTCTCCTATAAAATGAGGTAAAATCAGCTGGCTTACTTTATAAGGAAACAGAAGGGGCACCTCGGCGTGGTGTAATGGTTAGCAAGCTTGTCTTGCTAGATCAGTTACTACTGAAAAGTGAGATCGATCCTCACTGGATGCCCCATGCTTTCGGCCTTGTGCCACATCTAAGCTATGCTTGGAAAATCTTTGGGCACCTCGAGGTGGTGTAATGGTGAGCAAGCTTGTCTCGCTAGAATTATTACGACTGAGTAGTGAGTTCGATCCTCACTGGGTACCCCATACTTTCGGCCTTGTGCCACATCTGAGCTACGCTTGGAAAATCACTACAAGGAAACAGAAGAAGGCAGCCATGTTGGCAGGTAAGTCACTTGACTTCTACAGTTAAGAGAAAGACAAATTCAAATATTTAACTGCATAAAGGATAACGACATTATTAGCAACAATAACAATGATAATGAACTAAATAAAATAGACACATAATGCTATATACTGACTTCATAACATTCGCTACCCAATACAATTTATCCAATTTTAATAATATCAAAATAATTACAATCACATTCTAAATTATTAAGGATCACAACCAAAAACAACAATATTAATTCTGAAACAGGTATATATAAAATAAACTTTCACAAATACTCTTCAGTATACTACCAATGAAACTTGCAGAAATTAAAAAAAAATATTTATGCGCACTAAAATATCTTATACACAACAATTTATCACGTGCATCAGTCATACATAGAAAGAAATCAGTCTAAAGAATGCCACACTTATTTAAAGGGAAAGTAACTTCGACGGAAAATTATTTTAGAGTGCCGTTATCGAATTTTACCAAAATGTAAATCTGTGCTTTAGATTTTTTCAAATACCTGTTTCTGTAAGAATTACTCCTTTCCCAAGCTAACATACATTATAAAAATGTAAAAAATTAAAGAAAACAGTTAACTTTATAAGCTTCTATTATTTAAAAAATATATAATACATAAATTAATCCCAAATTGAAATAATATATATAATAATTAAATTATAAAAAAATTGAACAACAATAAAATTTACTCAGTTTTGTTTATTAGACATTAAATTACATCACTAATTTAGCAAAATTTTTCAGTTAGATTGATACATATTTATGAGTATTCTTAAATTGTGAAAATCTAACATTTTTACTTTTGTTTAAAAGTATGTTGCAAAATAAAATTCAAAACAAACAACCCCAACAAATTACAGCGTCTAAGAATTTGAATGAAACCTGTCGTGTAATTTATTGGGGTTGTTGTAAATTTGAGCAACATCTAGCCGACACACTGGGGTTAAAATAGAAACTAAAATGATACATATGACACACTCATATCCTCTCTCCCACCTCACTTCCTCACTTCGTTAACTTTGCGTATACTTGATGAGGTCCGTAAAAACGTGTGAATTTCTTCTCATTTTTCATTTCAGCTTTTGGAAGTAAAAGTCTGATGATCCAGAACCCTGTTAAAGGGGTTATGGTGAAATAACTTATTACATGGAATCTTAACGTGGTCTGTCTTTTATTCAAACATATCTGCTCTGAATTTTACATTGATCTCTCTGGATATCATCCTACTCAGGTCTACCCATACGGATTACCTAAATTTGCATAAACTATATATATATATATATATAAACACACACACACACACACACATACATATATATATATATATATATATATATATATATATATATATATAGAGAGAGAGAGAGAGAGAGAGAGAAAGAGAGATAGAAAGAAGGAGAAAGCTAGCTAGCTAGATATTATTTATACCTTCGGTATTTAGGTCGCAAGAAGATTTTTACTTCAAATTTCGGGGTAAAAAGTGCGTCTTATACACCGAAAAAACGATGGGGACAAATGCATTAATTCTTTCGATCTTAATGCTGTATTTAAGTTCCAAGAAAATGTATTTTAATAATCCCAGTTGTTAATTCCTGAAAATAATCCTAGTTATTTCTTACGCAATAATACTATTGGGATATTTTTGTACCGCCCTTAATTACTGGATATTTTTAGATCCAATGATTATTTTTTTGTAGTGCGTAGTATGTACTGCTATTGGAACGGATATTGTCCCGGAAAGTTAATTCAGCAACTCGAGTACAAATTCCGGGAGTTCACTTTCACACTACTTCTTTTTTCTTCCCCTACTAAACTATGTGTTAAATTGCAAAGTAGACAGGACTCACTAACCTTTAACAACCAATCTAAGAGAAGAAAAACATTGAATTGCAAGCCGTAGAGACGGCGATGTGAAACCACTTCACTATTTTTACCAATAATAGATGATAATTCGCAGATAATAAAGAAAAGATAATGCGTAGGTCTTGAAATTGTAATAAAAAAAACGCCAATTAAGCGACGCTATGTCGGATAATGGTTAGCGAATTTATCTGGCAGATCGTTTTTCTGGTGAAGTGAGTTCCGCACCGCACCTGTAGACTAAGCTAAGCTTAGCAAATACCAATTATCAAGGAGTAATAATTAGTAATCTTGCATAGAAAAATAATCTGGAGGATAGGATATAGCATATACGAAGATGAGTGCATATTGACGGTCATATGAATTGGTTTATCTTTGTAAAAAAGTTCCCTTCAAAACTGTTTGATCGAAAGTCGAATGGAAAAATGATGTTTTAATTTAGTTTCATATTTTGCAAGTTGTAATTATTATTGTAATGTTTTCAAGCAGTAAGCAAAGCTTAATTTGGTAATCCGGGTAGAAAATGTTTATTTTAGCAACAAAATAGATTAAAAATATATCGAATTCTTTTATTAACATGTTTTTTTCTCCATATACTAGTTGGAAATAAGACTATAATCAACAACGATAAATGGCAGACGATAACAAAACCCAAAACCGGATCTGCTGAGACCAAGTGATAGATTAATCTTTATTGGGAGAAAAACGCTAATTGATTAAGCGTCGTCAAACCATTTGACAAATACAGTAACTCGAAATATTTTCCACCTGTGGTAGAAGACAGTGCAACCATGTTTGAGAATGTTGATTTTCTAGGATGATTTTTGGTATAACATAATCTTTATCTACTTTGAGCCATATTAAGCTGAACCTTGTCTCGTGCATTACTAGACGTTGTAAGCATTCAGCGACAGAGACATTGATTGGTTGAAATTGGTACAACAGAGAACAATATTGATTGGCTGAAATTGGAATGACAGAGAACTACACACAGAGAACAATATTGATTGGCTGAAATTGGAATGACAGAGAACTATGTTGATTGGCTGAAATTCAAAGAAATGGTACCAAGAGTTGGTAAAAATGTCAGTAAAATATAGACTGTGGATTGGCTAAAATTTGTATCAGTGACTCATTGGTTGAAATTTCAAGAAAACTTTGATGAAAACAAATTAATATAATTTGCCCGATTTAAAAACTTACAATGGGGACTGCTTTTTCAAAAATAATTTTCATTTTTGTTTCCTAAATTCATTTTTAATTTTTGTTGCGATTTTAATTTTTTTTGCGGTGTGTTTTTATTTGTTTGAGGGAGCTGCGATTACGTTTTGTCATTAAAATTTTTTTTTCTTTTGCTGGAAATCAAAGGATTTTATTTGGGCGTAAGAAATCAATAAAAATAATTGTGGGGGTTTTATGAAGACCATAAAATACGGTTCGCAATCTTATTTTTATCTCTGTTCGATGGCCCCGACATCTTAATTTCCACTCTGAGTGGATTGAGCGAAACGGCTTGCCAAAAGAAAGAGGAGATTCCGGTTATAAAGAGAAAACAACAATTATCGTTTAAAAAAATATATAAAAGAAACAAGCTTAATTCAGAAAAAAACTAACGGAAGAATAAAAAAAATGACATACTTTGCTATTGAATAGGCAATAACTTGGTTCAGCGATAAGATTAGTGGGCTGAAAACTAAAACATTTGAGGTTTCATTTTAAAATTATTTCAATGCGCAACGAAAGATTCACCCAGCGGAAAAGAAAATTTGAATTTCAAACTTACCATTTCAGTAATTCATATTTATTAAAAAAATAATAATTTTCTTATTTCAACAACATTTGCATTAATTACAGGCTATTGAAAACTATAAGAAAACTCTTTGGGTATATTATCAGCAAGTCTTAATAGATAATAGACTCTTTAAACGTAATATGCTCTTTGAGTTTATTGATCACCACATAAAAATCTTCCCGATTGACAAAAAGTATGGATTTCACTCCTCTGTGTCCACAGCTGATATTTTAACTGTTATTACACAGAAAATCAGTTAAGCACTTGATAATAAATTCATCGTGAGAGCGATCACTTTAGAACATCTCAAAGGCCTTTGACAAGGTGTGGCATAGTAGGTGTTATAGTGGAACACATCTATTCTATAGTTAATAGACTCTCCCACCTATAATAAGTAGGATTAGTAAGATTAACGAGTGTGTTGGTCAGTCAGTCGATGCCGGACGACCGTTAGTCGGATATTAAAGTATCAGCGACCGCAACTAGATTTACTCTGCGTCATTACCTATTATATCAAGTTCCTAACGTTTTGTACGTCGAACCTATTTTAGGACCGACTTAGTACAAATACAAGCCTCTACTGTGAAATCACTCCACAACAGTAGGCTACAACACAAACTCCCCATCTATGGTATCTCTGGAAGAATCTCCGCAATTATCAAGTCCTTTCTCTAGATAGTTCCATGAAGATTGTCGTTAATGGCCACTCATCTGAAGTCTATGAGATCAATGCAGGCGTTGCTGAATTCTCTCTCCCTGGTCCAACTATCTTTCTGCTGTATATTAACGATCCGTTTAGGAAATTATCAGATCAATTGTAAACATCTATGCAGATGATACCACAGTTTATGGGAGCACCTCCAACAATCAACATGAACAAAGCCTGGCAGTTGATCTCTCTTATGACCTAACACTAACAACACGAAAAACTGGATTGTAACTTTCAATAAATCCAAAACCAAACTACAGGTGTCCTTAATGTCTGGACACAGGAAATCTCATTAACTATATTTTTTTTTACTTCCACTGACTAAACATGGTTTTGTCGAAAGAAGAAAGAATTGATTTCTTTTTCTGTGGTATGCTAAAGGAGAAGGTGTACTCAATGAAAATCACAGATGCAACATACTTGATTGAATGCATAAAGAGTGAATGTGCTAAAGTTGACGGCAATGTGGAGTTATTGCATCAAGTTCAATTTGCAAAGTGTATCAACCTTTGCATCACAAATGATGGAAATCATATTGAAGATGTTATCTGTTAATATTCCATTTCAAGAAAAAGTTGTTGAAAATTTAATTTCTTGAAAATATGCATTTTTGCCTAGGATATCCAGACTTTAGGGACATCCTGTAGTAACATTTAATCATCACCGAGCAAAACGTAAATTCTCACTCGTGCTGATGAATAGTTGCATTTTCAATAAGATTCTTTACTTTGACCGTTTATTGAATCTCAAGTTCACCTCAAACCTCAAGTTCACCTCATATATACGATCCATCGGTAAAGATGGCGGAAAAATGGAATTATTTTACCTCCCCGGAAAGTACCTGACTCCATCTGTCATCTTTAGAAGATCAGGTTAAAAATAGAGTATTGCTGCCGTATCTGTGATGAAGCCACCCAATACTCACTTTCCAGCTTTGACAGAGTTCGAAAGCGTTTACGCGGCCTTGTGGGTGATGTCTTCCTTTTACATCCCATACAGGCCCTTTCCCATAGAGGCAAAGACGCAAGTCTATCGTTACTCTATTGCTACTTCCATGGCAAATGTTCAGGTGAGCTCATAGTGCTACCAGTTTAGACCTTTACGGCTACGACCCACCATGCTACTTCCACATAGTCGAATCACCCTCATTTCCTTCGTATACCATTTTTAAGTAGGAAGTTTTACTTAGAAAGCTTCTTCACAAGAATCGCTATAGATCGATGGCAGTGCTCGCTTGCACGAAAATGACCGAGGGTTTAAGCGTACTGATCCCGTCAAATGATGCATTATCTCCCCAAAACTGTGACTAAGGTCTGATCAGCATAGTTGCAGTATAAATAACAGAACAGGCGTCTCTAAGAGTGTTTAGCTAGACGTCCTTGCGGACGGGTGTGGTTTGAAACGAGCAGTCCTCCGATGCTGATTACATAAATGCAAACGTCCCCCAAGGTTGGCTTCTCGGTAATACCATATTCCTGCTTTATATTAATGATTTAAGAGATATGGTAGGAGCAATACCAATCATATGACACATCGAAAGACAGAGGATCAAGTGGTTCGGACACCTCACTCGTATGCCTATCAACCAACCAGCCCTACTACGGGCATACACCCTCAGGTATTCTGGTTGTAGAGCGAGATGCAGGCCAGGAAGACGCTGGAGCGATTCAGTGGTAGACACTCTGAGAACCCACGAGATATCTCTCCTCCAGGCCACTCGCCTTACCGCTGACAGACGGCTGTGTCTCCCCGCGACGTCTAACAGCGCAAGCAGAAGGAAAAACTAAAACTAAACTATTAATGATTTACCAAAGAGCATATAGCCATCTTTAGTGAATATCTATGAAAAAAATACAACGGTATAGATTGCACATCCAAAAGTTATGATGAACAGAGCCTGGACCGTCCTGGGTGTGACAATAAACTACATCCTGCAGCAAGGAGATTGGAGGTTTTGAGGAGCGTGGAACCATTTCTTAAACTGACCCGGGATGGTAGCACCTGTTAAGGTTCTAGCTTTGGGCAAATAGTGAAACACCAAACAAAAATCAACAGTACATTTTTATAATACAATGACCAACAATACATTTTTATAGCAAAATGGCAATCAATACAACAATAAAAAATATAAAAATACATTTTTTATAGTAAAACTTTCAACAATACGTTTTATGATCCTTAAACTATAGAGGTAAAAAAAACATAACTTTACCCTGAAAGTGGAAAATTATGTACAAAATATCTGTGGTTGAAAGCATAAAATTACGTAAAAAATATTTAAATTTCGGCATTAAATAACCCATAGAGGTGTTGATATGCCGCTTAACCAACAAACAATACCTATTTATAGTGAAATTACCAACAAAACAATATGTAGTTGAAGGCATACAATTGCATTCAAAATATATTTAGTTGAAGTCATAAAATTGTGTTCAAAATATGGCCTTGTGGATGAGGAATTATTTTTCACCCTCTAACCCCGTTCTAACAGAAGAAACATTGCAAGTTTCTATCGCTATTTCCATGAAAAATGTTCTAAGGAGCAAAATTTCTTTACTTCCAGTAATTTGAACTCTCATACATAAAACCTGTTATGTCCGTACACTGAGGCGAACTACCCTCATTTCCTTCATATTCCATTAGTGAGAAGTCAGTAACCCTCGAAGAGTTTCTTCCCACGAACCATTATCTTGGGGAACCGTTTCTCAAGAGGATGCATTCCCGACTATTACAATCTTAACCTCTTCAAAGCTAGTGTTAACCGTTATCTTTTCTACATTTCCTCATAAACTTTACCGCTTACACCTACCGAACATAAACCTATTTCAGAAAAAACCTCTATATTGAGTCAACAGTAGTAATATCTATCTATCTATCTATCTATCTATCTATCTATCTATCTATCTATCTATCTATCTGTTTCAGTTTGTTCTTTATCTATCTATCTATCTATCTATCTATCTGTTTCAGTTTGTTCTTTATCTATCTATCTACCTACCTATCTATCTATCTATCTATCTATCTATCTATCTATCTTGCTAGCTCCGTTTTTTCCCTTCTGTCTATGTAGCTCCGTTTTTTCTATCTATTTATCAACTTTTTCCTTTCTATCTATTTATCTTCGTTTTTCTATCTATCTATCTATCTATCTATCTATCTATCTATCTATCTATCTATCTATCGTAAACTTTCATTTTACCCCAAATTCCTTGGATGTTTCTCATTTTCGTGTTGACAAGGGAGAGTGGGATGTTTATGTGTGTGATTGGATTATGGCGAGGGTCATTTGTCCAGGATTGTCATCACCGGTGCTTCTTGGATTTCAATGTGCAATGTCAACAAGTTTGTCTTAAATGCTCAGCGATTGGATAGGTTGTTTAGACACACGCACACACAAACTCTCTCTCTCTCTATATATATATATATCTCTCTCTTTTTCACACACACACACAGAGTGTATCCTATAAACGTTGTCGATTGCTTCTGAAAATTTGAAAATTCCCACATGTGTCATACAATATCAATGAAAACAAAGGACAGGAAAGTAAGCTTTATATTCTTTCCATTTATTCCCTTTCTGTCCGAGAGTAACTTTTTATTAGAATAAATAATGACCGGACAAATGCAAACATTTGATGAATGACAGAACATCCTACGATTTTACCACTCCAACTGACGCCCGTTCGCCCGCTTCGACGTCACCAGCCATCCACCTTGTGTGCAATATAATCAAAACCGTAAAATATAGACATATGGCCAGCGAAATGGAGATGGTCAATCCTATGGCCAGTATGAGTTACGATGCGGTCGATTCCATAAATCTGGTGGGAGAGATAGGAAGTGAACTGGAGAAGGAAGTTTTGGAAAGGCTAGTCGCTTGGGGACTCGTTGTGTCGTCTTAGGCATCTCGGTTTACGATGGCCTGTTTCTGCGTATGTGCATGTAACTTTGTGTACATAAATTTGGTTACTGAGCTCATCATACAGGATCAAAAGGTAGTTTGAGTAGCGGGGTGAGAATGGGGATAGGCAAACGGCGCTACACTAATTTTCCGAGTAATAGGAACTTACCTTGAAAATCAACGTCAGGAATTTTGATTTTTATGAAGATTCGAACGCGTAATCCACAGCATAGGGCACCTCGGCGGGGTGTAATGTTTAGCAAAACTTGTTTAGATAGATCAATTACAACTGAGTAGGGAGTTCGATCCTCACTGGGTGTCCCATATTTTCGGACTTTGTGCCACATCTAAGCTACGCTTAGAAAAACAATTTCTTAGCTACGCTTAGGAAAAAAAAACAATTCTGACTTGGTGTAATGGTTAGCCAGATTGCCTCAATAGATAAATTACGACTGAGTAGTGAGTTCGATCCTCACTGGGTGATTCATACTTTCGGCCTTGTGCCCCATTTAAGCTAATGCAAATTGGCATCTCGAAGTGGTGTAATGGTTAGCAAGTTTGTCTCGTTAGAACGATAATGACGCGGTAGTGAGTTCGAGCTTCACTGGTACGCTTAGAAAATCACAATAATCCGCGCGAAATCCGCACATAATTGACGGTTCTAACGACCGCGTAGAAAAATGCGCTCAAGGATGTGCATGTGGTGTAGCGGTTATTAAGATCGAAAATGGCGTTTCGGGTTCAAATTCTAGCCGAGACAGTTGCTTCCACTTTCAAACAAATACTCATGAAAAAAGATATGAATCCAACTCGTCTCTCCCTAAATACGAGAGTTCAGTCTACCGTGCTATTTAACCCATAGCAAGGTAAACTGGACTCCCTCGGGGAAGAACAATTCTGAATCAAAAATCGGTTGGGCATGAGGCTAGGAAATCCACCTCATAAAGAAACCACTTTCTACAGGGGAATGCCTCGCAGGGTGCGGTTAAGACGCCATACTCCAAGGAAAAGGATAAGGATAAAAAGGAATGGTAAAGGTAAAAAAATATTTAGAGAAACAAAAGAGAATTTGTGGAGAGCTATGAATAGGCACGCCCTGCAATGACGTAACATAAAAAAATAGTTAAAAGCTCATCGAAAAATACGTACTAATTTGTACTTTCAGCAGAAGTCTTTATCGCTGTAGTCTTTTTTTAGTTGTCCATGGTGCTTACGTCATGCACCTTGAAATACGTATGATTTATCAACCTGACGACGACTTCTTTTTCTGTGTGTCGTGTACCTTCAGGACGTGGACGAGTATGCCAGTCAGTTACTTCTCCTTTGTAGCTCTTAGTAATGTTTGTATTTTTGCTATCTCTCCTAATCACACTATATGCCAACCATCCACAAAATCTCAGGTAGGTTAAGCCTCTCTTTCCTCTGTTCAGTTTGCCTTCACTATGTCATGTGAATATCGAATTCTCCAGGCCCACTTTCCTCGTTAAGTGCCATAGAAATTTCAACTCTCTCTTTCTGAGGCCCAGTATAAATATACTTTTTTTTGTTTCTATTATCATTAAAAGTTGCTCAATTGTATTTTCAGTATACTTCTGTAGAACCATATTTCTGTTGTCTCTATTCTCTTCTGCATTTGTGGTGAGATTGTCCGGCATTCAGTGCCATATAAGCAGAGCTGAGCACCAAACCGTTCATCCGCTAATCGCTTTAATTAAAGAAGTTAAAATTTTCTTCAACGATTCAACCCCCAAGCTAACTTTGAACGTCATCATGGTATCGCAAGAACTTGAATCTGTTGATGTCGAAGTTAAAACTGCCAGTGCCATTAGACCTCAGTAGGAACAGGCTCAGAACTTAACGTCAACAGCTTAACAATAACTTCCGTTACATTTTTTAGAGACAAATGATCAACGGTTAACGAAGTTAACTTTTTGATTAATGGTGCCCACTTGTGATGATGCTCAAAGTCAATTTAAAATGTCTAATCGCTAACGAAAATGATAACTTCGGTTCGGTGCCCAGCTCTGCATATAGGAAGACTAGCAGCATGGCCCGGCGTTGCCCGTGCTTGATTAAAAAATCCTACGACTCATACAGCAATCGCTATCGCTTGGCTTAAAATATTTTTGCTCTTCCTTGCCTTTAAAGGAGTGCTCTTTTCCGTGCTGATGTTGCTAAATGCCTTACTTTTTGCTTATCTCACACTGCGAATTTTTTCTAAGCTCTATACTTAACATTAAATTTGTTACGAAAAAAGACCTAAACAAAATGAAAACAAAACGATCAGCTTTAAAAAAGGACTCGTAACTGGAAAAACCGAATGAAAAAAGAATGTTAACAACAAATCCTTTTTCACACCCAACCCAGTTCTGCAGAATCAGAATCAACGTTGAGTTTAAGCAAGCGAATGAGCCAATTGGAGTAAAGTGCCATGCAGATTTAAATTTTTCCCACTTGTGACGAATGCAGCTATCGATTTTTTTGCATGCTAGCATGCTAGTTAACATTCGTGTCAGTCAGCTGTTGGCTCTCACGATGGCCAATAGAATCTTCCTGCCTATCCATGGCAGCCAGCTATAGGCTCTCAATCTGGCCAGTGCAAAATGGCCGCAAACTACATGAAAACTGCCGTAGAAGCATGAAAAAATCGATTAATTCCACTATCGATGGGAGTTGGGAAATGCAAAGTCGTTCTTGGCCTTCCTGCTAACTTGGAGCATGTGCATGTAAATTTTCCTGCAAATCCGTCGAAAATTGCGGCCGTGCATTCGTTACACACACACACACACACACACACACACACACACACACACACACACACACACACACACACACACACACATCCTGCCTTTGATAGATAGAGATTGATATTACATAACAGTTCAGTAATCTTTTCTTCCTTTCTAATGAAACTTTTTTTTTATTTCTGAATATTTTGCGTAGTTTTTGGAAGGTATCTTTTCGCTATCCCAATGCATCTTTGGATTTCGATGTCGCATTTTCCGTCCTCTGTTAAAACACTTCTTAGATATTTAAATTCTTTGTATTTGCTTGATTTTGGTATCCCTAATTTACTATTTGCACATTGGGCTTTTCTTTTTCTTTTGATTTTCAACCGTACATTCTGTCTTTCCCCTTTCCTCTGTCCATCTTGTTTTCACTCTGTCATGTGAATATCGAATTCTCCAGGCCCCCTTTTCTCGTTATGTGACCTAGAAATTTCAACTCTCTTTTTCTAATGCTCAGTATAAATGCACTTTTTGGTTTTGTTTAGTATTAGTGTTTTTTTGTTTCCGTTATTAAAAATTGCTCAATTGTATCCCCGATAGAGTAGCGAGAGGCTTGCGACGAGTCGTCTGTGGGAAAGAGGGTTTAGGATGGAAAATAATTACAATCGATAATCCTTTTTTCCTTAATGTTATGGGACCTTACCCATAATAATAATAATGGACTATTCCATACTTAATTAATACTGCGCCTCAGGAATAGGCAAGGAGTCAGTTGAGTCAGTCGACCGGCTGATCGGTTGAACTCTCTGCCTTCGGGAGGAGAGGAACCCTAACGAGGCTACGCCGAGGGGCGGAATCTCATTTGTGGAGGTAAACCGGCCCTGAGCTCATTTATACGAGTTCAATGGGCATATTTTTGGGCCGAGCCTACGGGCTCGGAAAACCCACAATAAATAACCGACCTTGTGTCACATGTTGCCCCAGTGACAAAATATCGTCAGTTGAGTCAGTCGACCGGCTGATTGGTTGAACTCTCTGCCTTCGGGCGGGGAGGAACCCGAAGGAGGCTACGCCGAAGGGTGGATTCTCTTTCGGGGAGGTAAACCGACCCTAAACCCGTTTATACGGGTTCAATGGGTATATTTTTGGTCGAGCCCACGGGCTCGGAGAGTCCACGTTAAAAAGGCCTTGTGCCACATGACGCCCTCGTCAGTAGAGTCAGTAGTTCAAGTCGAGCCAAGAGTCGAGTCAGAGGCAGTCCGAAACAGAGTCGCGTTCAGACAATTACTGCAAGACATTGGAATAGTAATACTGGTCGAGACTACATTGTTCTCTCTACTAAACCTGATTGTTCATACTCACACTTCTACTTCTCTGTATATATTCCTGTTTGTAATATATCTGTGTTATTCCATACCTGTGTTCGAGTTCTTCTTTATTGGTTCTACCCTGGACTATCACCGTGGTACAAGGAACCGGGCCATAACACTTAATGTCACGACTCTCTACAGCTTCCTTTTGCTTTAATGTTAGGGAATTGTCATATTCTCTTAGGAAAAATAGTATTTTCCTGTTGAATTTTCCTTGGTTTTAAAATC